GACTGTTAGTAAACAAAACAGACAGGGAGGAGGACTGTTAGTAAACAAAACAGTTTAGTAAACAAAACAGTTCTCCTCCCCGTCGGTGATTGTCAGTAATCACTGGGAGCCGGCAGATAATCACTGGCCTAAACCTGGTGATTGACAGCTGGCGGCACAGGCAGGGAGCTACGCGGCTCGTGCGCGCCCTCTAGCCGGAAATGCAAAATCACGTATATATATATATGTGTGTGATTTTGCGCACCAGTGCCATCTTGTAGCAGTATATCTGCTATACGACTGGGAAGCGATTTCAATAGACTACATATATAGATCTAGGTATACAGTTGTGTCCAAAATTATTCAAATTGAGTGTTTTGGCCAGTTTGACATTTGCTTTTGATCATTCAGGCTTAGGACTTAAAGAGGCACTTAGTAAACAAAACAACATAACAGGAGAAATAACCACAAATGTCTTTTCTGTGCTCACAGACTTATCAGTTTTATTAAACCCCAAGTGAAACTTAGTACTTAAACAGCAGAACAGCTTTTAAACGTGAAGCATAGCTTGACACAAGGTCTTGCAGCGATCTACGGGTAATTCTTCGCCCATTCTTCATGGGCAAAGGCCTCCAAATTCTTAGGCTTGCAGGCAACTGCTTTCTTTAAGTCCCACCAGAGGTTCTCAATCGATTTAAGTCTGGTGACTGCGATGGCCACTCCAAAATGTTCCAGCCTTTCCTCTGCAACCACTGCTCTAAACAAAAAGGTCCAACGTCTCCCAAGCCTCAGGTGTGTGACGGACTGCATCACGTTTCCATCCAGGTACTGAAGAGAATTCATGTACCTTGCACACGTGAAGCTTCCCTGTACCTGCAGAAGCAAAACAGCAAATTGACCCTCCACCATGCTTCACAGGGCAAGGTGTTCTTTCAGGCCTAAACTCCTCCAAACATAGCGTTGATCCATGGGCCCAAAGTTCTAATTTGTTTCATCAGTCCACTTTTGTGGTGTCACATGGCAGGCATGCAGTCGACTCTTCTTATTCAACAAGGGGGTACGCCTGGGAGTTCTGGCACGGAGGCCTTCATTACGCAGTGTGCGTCTTACGCTTCTGCCCACATCTGACAAAATCTTTTCTCAGTTCCTCAGCAGTCACACGGGGACTTCTCCACTCTACGCTTCAGGTAGCGCACAGCAGTCGAAGTCAGCATCTTCCTTTCTACCACGACCACGTGCCCTTTGCCTTGATTTGCGAATATGCTAAGGTGTCTCTTGTGTGTGCAATTTTGCGCACCAGTGCCACACCAGTAAATGTCTCACAGTGTAAAGCTGCAATGGTGCTTATTATATCTCGCTATACCTGATGGAAAGCACCTGTATGAACCTCTGTTCTTCAGAGTGGCTTTAAGGGGTTGAAGTGGCAATGATTTACAATAAACAATTGATGTCATTTTAGTTGCATAGGGTAGTTACAACGTCCTTTGTGTATACATAGAAGTGTAAAGGTGCCACAGGAGCCACGGGCCCCCCGCAGAATCTCGGCAGGATACGGGACAGACCACACACTCACATCTAGACACGCATAGGGATTCATTTTTGCGAGCGCAAAGATCTTCCTATAGAAGCCCTGGGTATGGATAATAGCCCAATGCAGGATGTGATGTCAGCGGTCCACCGCATAGGAACAGCGAGTCAAAGACAGCCGGGGAGATTTATTTTGCTACCCCATCAGATCCTCCCGGAAAAAAAATCGTTGTTCAAGATGTGCGACAAAGAAAAAATTGGAAGACTTCCCGTTCTTACCGAGATCCCCAAGTAAATCTCATGAGGCGAGCCCATCGTGGTGCGGCAACCTGTACATGGGAAGGCCTGCTGTGTACCATGGATCCAAATTAAATATGGCGGCAGAACGCCCACGCAGCGTAGACCACGAACCGTACATGCGCAGTTCCGCTGTCATGGCAGCTCACCGAGGCGTCCACGCGCGGCGCCAGTATATATATATACTGCATGTTGAAATGCGTTTTTTATATATTACAAAATATATGAAAAATATTTTTAAAAATATAAATTTTTTAAATATACTCCAGATTTTTTTAACATATAAAAAAGTAATTTTAACATATATTTTTTTACATATATTTGTAAATACGTTCCAAAACTGTACATTAAATGTATTTTTAAAGACATGCAGTATATTTGAAGTTTATTTTTAAAAATATTTTTCATATATTTTGTAATAACAACGCATTTCAACATACAGTGTATATATATATATAGATTGTAAGCTCCAAGGATCAGGGCCCTCGAACCCCTCGTGTATTTTATTGTTACTGTACTGTCCCCCACCATAATGTACAGCGCTGAGCAAACTGTTGGCGCTATATAAATCCTGTATAATAATAATATATATATATATTTATTTATTTTACAAAAATTATATATATATATACAGTGAAGAACAGAAGTATTTGAACCCCCTGCGATTCTGCAAGTTCTCTCCACTTCTCCATCATGGAGGGTCTGACATTTACATTGCAGGGGATTCCCACTCTGAGGACAGAATTCAGGAGATCACATTGTATGATTTGTAAAGAATGTATTTGTCTCGCACGGCTGAACAGAAGTATTTGAACCCCTGAGAAACAGCAAGAATTCTGGCTCTCAAAGACCTGTTACTGCGCTTTTACAAAGTCCCCCTCTACTCCACTCATTCATCTCACTTAGTAGCACCTGTCTGAGCTCTTTAAAGACACCTGTCCACCCCACAGTCAGTCAGACGCCAACTACTACCATGGGCAAGACCAAAGAGCTGTCAAAAGACACCAGAGACAAAATTGTGGACCTCCACAAGGCTGGAAAGGGCTACGGGGCAATTGCCAAGCAGCTTGGTGAACATAGATCAACTGTTGGAGCAATTGTTAGAGAATGGAAGAGGCTAAAGACGACTGTCAGTCTCCCTCGGACTGGGGCTCCATGCAAGATGTCACCTCGTGGGGTATCACTGATGATAAGAAAGGTGAGGAATCAGCCCAGAACTACAAGGGAGGAGCTGGTCAATGACATGAAGAGAGCTGGGACCACAGTTTCACAGGTCACTGTCGGTAGAACACTACGCCATCATGGTTTCCCATCATGCATTGCATGGAAGGTTCCCCTGCCCAAGTCATCACATGTCCAGGCCCGTCTGAAGGTTCCCCTGCTCCAGTCATCACATGTCCAGGCCCGTCTGAAGGTTCCCCTGCTCCAGTCATCACATGTCCAGGCCCGTCTGAAGGTTCCCCTGCTCCAGTCATCACATGTCCAGGCCCGTCTGAAGGTTCCCCTGCTCAAGTCATCACATGTCCAGGCCCGTCTGAAGGTTCCCCTGCTCAAGTCATCACATGTCCAGGCCCGTCTGAAGGTTCCCCTGCTCAAGTCATCACATGTCCAGGCCCGTCTGAAGGTTCCCCTGCTCCAGTCATCACATGTCCAGGCCCGTCTGAAGGTTGCCAATGACCATCTGGATGATCCAGAGGAGGCACAGGAGAAAGTCATGTGGTCAGAGGAGACCAAAGTAGAACTTTTTGGTCTAAACGTCACTCGTCGTGTGTGGAGGAAAAAGAAGGATGAGTTGCATCCCAAGAACACCATCCCTACTGTGAAGCATGGGGGTGGTAACCTCATGCTTTGGGGTGCTTTTCTGCGAAGGGGACAGGGCGACTGCACTGTATTAAGGAGAGGATGAATGGGGCCATTTATGGTGAGATTTTCAGCAACAACCTCCTTCCCTCAGTCAGAGCATGAAGATGGGTCATGGCTGGATCTTCCAACATGACAACGACCCGAAGCACACAGCCAGGAGAACCAAGGAGTGGCTCCGTAAGAAGCATATCAAGGTTCTGGAGTGGCCTAGCCAGTCTCCACACCTAAATCCAATAGAACATCTTTGGAGGGAGCTGAAACTCCGTGTTGCTCAGCGCCAGCCCCGAAACCTGACAGATCTAGAGGAGATCGGTGTGGAGGAGTCGGCCAAAATCCCTGTTGCAGTGCAAACCTGGCCAAGGACTACAGGAACCGTCTGACCTCTGTAATTGCAGACAAAGGCTTCTGTACCAAATATTAACACGGATCTTCTCAGGGGTTCAAATACTTCTGTTCAGCCGTGCGAGACAAATACATTCTTTACAAATCATACAATGTGATCTCCTGAATTCTGTCCTCAGAGTGGGAATCCCCTGCAATGTGAATGTCAGACCCTCCATGATGGAGAAGTGGGAGAACTTGCAGAATTGCAGGGGGTTCAAATACTTCTGTTCCTCACTGTATATACAGTATATATATATATATATATATATATATATATATATTGAAATATATTAAAGACGGCAAAAATTGTAGTATTTCAAATATATTTTGTAGGTTCTTTTGTAGGTTTACTTCTAGTCCATCTCTTGAGGCGAAAATTTGGAACCAATGAGTGCCCAGGTCCATGATTAACCTCGTGGTATGTACACAGCGCATTTTGACCCATCCGTAACTGGGGCTCAGCATGATCCGGTAAGGGGCAGAGTGTTTGGTGACGGTGATGGTGGACTTTTTCTATCTTCTGGCTGTTTTGGGACATCTATAGTAGCACTGAGGCTCCAGTGAAGAGGGGCTCATTCCCTATATCTTTTTATTGGACTTTTAAGTTCACATTTTTTTTATTATTTGAAGCGCCGCACTTCTGAATATCATCGAATTTGAGTGTTGGAAATTGTTTTGAAAAACAAACGAATTTCTAATTCTAATGATGGGGAGAACCGTGCCAGAAATGTCATCGAAAAAGAAATGAGCTGTGACCTGGAAAGAAAAGAAACTTCTTGGCCACAAAAATCTTTTTCTGTAGCAACACGAGGTGAAATGAAAGGCTTGGTTGGTCGAATTTCGAAATCAACGGTGGCGCCGTTGGGTTACAAAATGCATGAAATCTCTGATTTTCTAAACAAAATTTGACCCGTGTATGGCCTGCATTAGACCTTGTGTCTCAGCCCTTCCAAAGGCCCTGATCTTCGCTCTTGCAATTTTCCCCCATCAGTCCCAATAGGTATCTTCCCAATCAGGGGAACTGCCCGAGGGCCCGGGTCAGTAGGGGGCCCCATGAGATGTCCCTGGTACCTTTCATAGGCTTTTTTGGGTGTGGTTTGAGTGTGGGCAAGGACCCAGGGGCCCCATGATCCCCTATTGCCCGAGGGCCCCATGAGTTGTAAGTCCGGCCCTGTTCCCAATCCTAGACTCCTAATGGGCCTCCCCTGTATCCTGTGTGCATGCGTTCCCTGGGGCCCCTCTGCACCGCAGTGTTCCTCATACATATTAGACCGAGGCCATAACATTCTAACCACAGACAGAGAAAGTGAATAACATGGATTATCTCATTACAATGTCCTCTGTACATGGGTGGGATATATTGGGCAGGAAGTGAACATGTTGTCCCTAAAGTTGATGTATTGAAAGCAGAAGAAATAAACAAGTTGAGGGACTTTTGAGGGCCTTTGTAACTCTAGATGGCTGGGTCAGAGCAACTGCAAAACGTCAGCTCTTGTGGGATGTTCCTGGTCTGTAGTGGTCAGGACCAACCAAAAATGGTCCAAGGAAGGAGAACTGGTGACAGGGTCATGGGCAGCCAAGGCTCCTTGATGGAGGTGGGAAAGAGCTACTGGACCTCAAATTGCTGAAAAAAGTCAATGCCGGTTCTGATGGGAAGGTTTGTTGTGTATGGGGTTGCGTAGCCGCAGACTGGTCATCATGACTATGCTGACTAAATGAGCCTACAATGGATGCGTGAGCATCAGAACTGGACCACGAAGCCATGGAAGAAGGTGGCCTGGTCTGATGAATCACGTTTTCTTTTCCAGCATGTGGTTGGGTGGGCGTGCGTCACTTACCTGGGAAAGGCCCGGGTGCAGTATGGGGAAGGCAAGTCGGTGGAGGCAGTGTGATGCTTTTGCCAATGCTTTGCTGGGAAACCTTGGTTCCTACCATTCATGTGGGTGCTACTTTGGAGTCTATACCTCGATAGGTCAGGGCTGTTTTGGCAGCAAAAACGGGGACCCTCTCAATATTATGTCATGGCTGGTTGCTGTAGTTATCCCTGTGTTCCCTGGAAGCCCAGCATCCCATTGCTGATATTTCTGTCCTCCTCTATCAATGTGAGCCCTGCACCCCGGTGCTGTAATTGTCTCATATTCAATGTCCTGTCTGCCTGTAAGACCTGCACTCCAGTGCTGCACTGTACTCCTGCCATTCCTGTGAGTTCAGTTTTCTGTGTTTCCCCAGATCCTCATCTCTGTTCTTTGTTCTTCCCCATCAGAGTTGCACTCTATGACCACCCTGCCACCACCCAACGTGCAGGTTGCATGGAGGGTCCACAATCCCCAACCAGTCCCCCTTCATGACAGAACCCAGCAATAAAAACCAAGAAATTATTGTTTGTTTTTAAAATGTGTGACTTTCGGTGCAAAAACTTGGAAAAAGCAGAATCCATCCCAAATCCTCCCCCAACGTACCTGCCAGAAGAGAGAGGAGAAGTACCGTCAAGGCCATCATCGTGTAGCTCTGAGCTCCAACATCTTCATCAGATGCCACCTCAGTGTTGGACTCCACCCCCCCCAGAACCACATGTTTCCTTGTGCTGTTGTGGTGAAAAGTGACCCACGGTGCGAACATAACCAGCTAGAAGAAGAATGCAGACCACATGACCTTACAAGGACAAAATAGAACATCTGAATTGACGTTAGGAGCTTCAAAGACGATTGAGGCTTGTTGACATGGCGACTAAACCTGAAACGGAAGAGTCATTTGTGTGAAGCCCAGTAAATATTAGAACCCGGTATATACAGGTGAAACTCAAAAAATGAGAATATGGTGCAAAAGTGAATTTATTTCAGTGCAGCAACTTAAAAGGTGACACTAATATATGAGACTCATTCCATGCAAAGCAAGATAGTTCAAGCCGTGATTTGTCATCATTGTGATGATTATGGCTTACAGCTCATGAAAACCCCAAATCCACAATCTCAGAAAATGAGAATATTGTGAAAAGGTGGAATAATCTCGGCTCAAAGTGTCCCACTCTAATCGGCTCATTCAGCCATAACACCTGCAAAGGGTTCCTGAGCCTTTAAATGGTCTCTCAGTCTGGTTCAGTAGGAATCCCAATCATGGGAAAGACTGCTGACCTGACACCATCACTGACACCCTCCATAAGGAGGGAAAGCCTCAAAAGGGAATTGCAGAAGAAGTTGGATGTTCCCAAAGTGCTGTATCAAAGCACATTAACCACTTGCCGACCGCGCATAGCCGAATGACGGCTTCACCGCGGCCGGCCAGTTCTGAGTGGACGTCATATGACGTCCTCCCAGAACGCGCTCTCCTGCGCGCCCCAGGGGGCGCGCACCCGGCGATCTCCGTGATCGCTGTGTCCTACGGACACAGCTGATCACGAGATGTGGTGAAAGGCCGATCCCACCAGCCTTTTACCACGTGATCAGCGGTGTCCAATGACACGCTGATCACAGGAAAATGCAAGTGCCGGTTCTCGGCTGCACTTTCCTCACGCTGTCAGATCGTGAGGAAAGTACTGCCGAGAACCGGCAGTTGTCAGAGCGGGGATCGGCACCGATCATCAGGGCACTGATGATCAGTGCCCTGATGATCGGTGCCCAGCAGTGACCCCCGCAAGTTCCGATCAGCTGTGCGCCCACTAGCCCCGCCCCCCCATTCCCAGCAGTGCCCCCACCTGTGCCCAGCAGTGCCCCCACCTGTGCCCAGCAGTGCCCCCACCTGTGCCACTCTGCAGTGCCACCTACCTGTGCCCAGCAGTGCCATCTACATGTGCCCAGCAGTGCCACCCACCTGTGCCCACCCACCTGTGCCCACCAGTGCCACCCACCTGTGCCCACCAGTGCCACCCACCTGTGCCCACCCACCAGTGCTGTCCACCAGTGCCACCCACCAGTGCCACCCACCAGTGCTGCCAGTCAGTGCCACCAGTCAGTGCCCAGGGGTTGTGCCAGTCAGTGCCGCCAGTCAGTGCCCAGAAGTGATGCCAGTCAGTGCCGTCTATCAGTACCCATCATCAGTGTCACCTATCAGTGCCGCCTATCAGTGCTGCATATCAGTGCCGCCTATCCGTGACCCCTAATTAGTGCTGTCTATCAGTGCCGCCTATCCGTGCCACCTCATTAGTACTGCCTATCAGTGCCCTTTAGTGCTGCCTATCAGTGCCCATCAGTGCCGCCTATCAGTGCCCATCAGTGCCGCCTCATCAACGCAAATCAGTGAAGGAGAAAAAAATACCTGTTTGAAAAATTTTATAAAAGAAACAAATAAACTTTTTTTTTTTTTCAAATTTTTTGCACTTTTTTTAATTTATAGCGCAAAAAGTAAAGCGCCCAGTGGCGATTAAATACCACCAAAAGAAAGCTCTATTTGTGAGAAAAAAATGATCAAAATTTCATATGGGTACAATGTTGCATGACCGCGCAATTGTCAATCAAAGTGCGGCAGCGCTGAAAGCTGAAAATTGGCCTGGTAAGGAAGGGGGTATAAGTGCCTGGTAGGCGAGGGGTTAATAGAGAGTTATGTGGAAGGGAAAAGTGTGGAAGAAAAAGGTGCACAAGCAGCAGGGATGACCGCAGCCTGGAGAGGATTGTCAGGAAAAGGCCATTCAAAAGTGTTGGGGACTTTCACAAGGACTGGACTGAGGCTGGAGTCAGTGCATCAAGAGCCACCACACACAGACGGATCCTGGACATGGGCTTCAAATGTTGTATTCCTCTTGTCAAGCCGCTCCTGAACAACAAAAACAACGTCAGAAGCGTCTTACCTGGGCTAAAGAAAAACAGACCTGGTCTGTCCTCAGTGGTCCAAAGTCCTCTTTTCTGATGAGAGCAACTTTTGCATCTCATTTGGAAACCAAGGACCCCGAGTATGGAGGAAGAATGGAGAGGCCCAAGGACCCGGAGTATGGAGGAAGAATGGAGAGGCCCAAGGACCCCGAGTATGGAGGAAGAATGGAGAGGCCCAAGGACCCCGAGTATGGAGGAAGGACCCCGAGTATGGAGGAAGAATGGAGAGGCCCAAGGACCCCGAGTATGGAGGAAGAATGGAGAGGCCCAAAGACCCCGAGTATGGAGGAAGAATGGAGAGGCCCAAGGACCCCGAGTATGGAGGAAGAATGGAGAAGCACAAGGACCCCGAGTATGGAGGAAGAATGGAGAGGCCCAAGGACCCCGAGTATGGAGGAAGAATGGAGAGGCACAAGGACCCCAAGTATGGAGGAAGAATGGAGAGGCCCAAGGACGCCGAGTATGGAGGAAGAATGGAGAGGCCCAAGGACCCCGAGTATGGAGGAAGAATGGAGAGGCCCAAGGACCCCGAGTATGGAGGAAGAATGGAGAGGCACACAATGCAAGGTGCTTGAAGTCCAGTTTGAAGTTTCCACAGTCTGTGTTGATTTGGGGAGCCGTGTCATCTGCTGGTGTTGGTCCACTGTGCTTCATTAAGTCCAGGGTCACCGCAGCCGTCTACCAGGAGATTTTGGAGCACTTCATGCTTCCTTCCGCAGACCAGCTTTATGGGGATGCTGACTTCATTTTCCAGCAGGACTTGGCTCCGCCCACACTGTCAAAAGCACCAAAACCTGGTTCAATTACCGTGGGATTATTCTGCTTGATTGGCCAGCAAACTCGCCTGACCTGAACCCCATAGAGAATCTATGGGGCATTGCCAAGAGAAGGATGAGAGACATGAGACCAAACAATGCAAAAGAGCTGAAGGCCGCTATTGAAGCATCCTGGTCTTCCATAACACCTCAGCAGTGCCACAGGCTGATAGCTTCCATGCCACGCCGCATTGAGGCAGTAATTGCTGCAAAAGGGGCCAAAACCAAGTACTGAGTACATATGCAGCTTCTACTTTTCAGAGGTGCGATATTGTTCTATGTACAATCCGTGTTTTATTGATTGCATGGAATATTCTAATTTTCTGAGATTGTGGATTTGGGGTTTTCATGAGCTGTAAGCCATAATCATCACAATGATGACAAATCACAGCTGGAACTATCTTGCTTTGCATGGAATGAGTCTCATATATTAGTGTCACCTTTGAAGTTGCAGCACTGAAATAAATCAACTTTTGCACCAGATTCTCATTTTTCGAGTTTCACCTGTACAGTGAAGGAAATGCGTATTTGCTCCCCGGCTGATGCTGAATGTTCGCCCATCACACAGAAATGATCGGTCTAACAATGGAATGTTCGCCCATCACACAGAAATGATCGGTCTAACAATGGAATGTTCGGTGTAACACTGAGAGACAGAATACAACAACAAATTCAGCAGAAATGCGTCTAACAAATGATGACGGATCTGCATGTTCATGAGGGAAAGAAGGATTTGATCCCCTTCGCAAAACATAACTTAGTACTTGGTGGCCAATCCCTTGTTGGCAATCACAGAGGTCAGACATTTCCTGGAGTTGGCCCCCAGGTTCACACACATCTCAGGAGGGATTTTGGCCCACTCCTCTTGGCAGATCCTCTCCAAGTCATTAAGGTTTGGTGGCTGACGTTTGGCAACTCGAACTTTCAGCTCCTCCACAGATTTCCAATCGGATGAAGGTCTGGAGACTGGCTAGGCCACTCCAGGACCTTCATGTGCTTCTTCTTGAGCCGCTCCTTTGTTGCCTTGGCCGTGTGTTTTGGGTCATTGTCATGCTGGAACACCTATCCACCACCCATTCTCAATGCCCTGGCTGAGGGAAGAAGGTTCTCACCCAAGATTTGAGGGTACATTGCCCCGTCCATCGTCCCTTTGATGCCGTGCAGTTGTCCTGTCCTCTTAGCAGAAAAACACCCCCAAAGCAGAATGTTTCCACCACCATGTTTCACAGTTGGGATGGTGTTCTTGTGGTCATAGGCAGCATTCCTCCTCCTCCAAACACGGCGAGTTGAGTTGATGCCAAAGAGCTGGATTTTGGTCTCCTCTGACCACAACACTTCCCACCAGTCCTCCTCTGCATCATTCAGATGTTCAGTGGCAGACTTCAGACAGGCCTGGACATGTGCTTTCTTGAGCAGAGGGACCTTGCGGGCACTGCAGGATTTCAGTCCTTGTCGGCGTAGTGTGTTACCAATTGTTTTCTTGGTGACTGTGGTCCCAGCTGCCTGGAGATCATTGACAAGATCCTCACGTGTAGTTCTGGGATGATTCCTCACTGTTCTCATGATCATTGACACTCCACGAGGTGAGATCTTGCATGGTGCACCAGACCTAGGGAGACTGACACTTGTTTTGTGTTTCTTCCATTTGTGAATGATTGCACCAACTGTTGTCACCTTCTCACCAAGCTGCTTGGCCATAGTTTGGTAGCCCAGGGGGATCAAATACACATTCCCTTCACTGTAGAAGTCTACTCGCCCTGACAAAGCGTGATAAAATCTGACATTTGTATGCAGACACTTTTCTCTTTCGTGTGTTTTAGGCTATTTTATTTTGTAATACTTCATTATTTCATATATAGTCTATTTTAATAAAAAAGACACCATCAAAATGACAACTTTGAGCCAAATTGGTCACAAATATAAAAGTCCATAAAGTCCAAACTACTAAAACGGTCCATAAGTTACTTATGGCCATGTAGGCGGCTCCACCAAGAAGACTGGAATGGATCCCTTCGGTGTTAACAAGAGAAAGCGCAAGGGGGCGCCTCTAAGTGCAGCACTCACATATGTAGATGAAGAGTGCGATTGTAAAATGGAGCGGGCCTCAATATGGGATCCGAGAGTCCATCAGTGGAAGTGTGGGAGATGGAAGCCGGGTCAAGGTGGTAGCAGAGCGTGGTAACCACTGCTGTAGGAAGTCCTGACAGACACGGGACCGGAAGTGTGACCAGACGTGACGGCAGGAGGAGGAGGAGGATACAAGACCTGAGTTTCCAAGGTGACTGTGTTTCGGAGCACCAATCGGCTCCTTTCTCAAACTATGTGATAAATGGATTCCTGTGATCCCTATCCTTAAATAAAAGACAGTTGTTCGGCACGATCAGTCAGATTTTCTATGTCAACATTTCTGCCAGGGGAGGGAGACTTTGGAGCACAACTGTATATTGTCTGGTCCCAGTTTCCCCCGTGATAGCCTCACTACCCAGTACAGGCAGGGCCTTGGATAAGGGGGTACCACCTGTCCTCTTGTATGGGGCCCAGGCAGCTGGGTGGACTGGCTGTGGGCAGAGATGGTTATCTGCATGGTGGTGGGAGGGGCAAATACTGGACTCAAAAAGCTAAGATTCCCCCATTCATATGCTAATTAACCCATTGGACTGGTTCATGAAGCTGAGGACAGGAAATGATGTAAGCAAGAAATACAGTACAGGGGGAAAAAAGGAAGCTAAGATTCCTCCATGCATATGCTAATTTACCTGTAGGACTGGTTCATGAATCTCAGGACAGGAAATGAAGTAGACAGGAAATACAGTAGAGGGAGGAAAAAAGGACTTGGACAGCCATGCCCTAAGGACATAAAGGAACTGGTAGTTTTTTGCAGGACCATCGAAGCAAGAAGTGGTCTGGAGAGATCCTGAATAAAAGGAAGAACACTCCACAACCAGAAAGAACCAAGTTACTGTAATTAGCTGTTTAGTTTAAGTCTATCACATACAATATATTGGGCTGCCGGCCTTCCCACACACATGACCTTTAATGGACCCCCAGTCTTAGTCCGTAGGGTCCAATATTGAGTTGGCCCCGCCCTTTCCACCCACATGACCTTTAATGGACCCCCAGTCTTAGTCCGTAGGGTCCAATATTGAGTTGGCCCTGCCCTTTCCACCCACATGACCTTTAATGGCCCCCTAGTCTTAGTCAGTAGGTTTCAATATTGAGTTGGCCCCGCCCTTTGCAGCCTTCTGGGAAGGCCGCCCACAAGGTTTAGGAGGGTGTCTATGGGAAGGTTGGACCATTCTTCCAGAAGCACATTTGTCAGGTCAGGCACTGATGTCGGGGGAGGAGGCCTGGCTCACAGTCTCCGCTCTAATTCATCCCAAAGGTGTTCTATGGGGTTGAGGTCAGGACTCTGTGCAGGCCAGTCAAGTTCCTCCACCCCAAACTGGCTCCTCCATGTCTTTATGGACCTTGCTTTGTGCGCTGGTGCGCAGTCATGTTGGTACAGGAAGGGGCCATCCCCAAACTCCTCCCACAAAGTTGGGAGCATGAAATTGGCCAAAATGTCGCCTTAAGAGTTCCCTTCACTGGAAATAGGGGGCCAACCCAACCCCTGAAAAACAACCCCACACCATAATCCCCCTTCACTAAACTTTACACTTGGCACAATGCAGTCAGGCAAGTACCGTTCTCCTGGCAACCACCAAACCCAGACACATCCATCGGATGGCCAGACAGAAAAGCGTGATTGGTCACTCCAGAAAACGCGTCTCCTTTGCTCTAGAGTCCAGTGGCAGCGTGCTTTACACCACGGCATCCGACGCTTTGCATTGCACTTGGTGATGGAAGGCTTGGATGCAGTCTGCTCGGCCATGGAAACCCATTCCATGAAGCTCTCTACACACTGTTGTTGGGCTCATCTGAAGGCCACACCAAGTTTGGAGGTTTTTAGCTATTGACTCTGCAGTCAGTTGGCGACTTCTGCGCACTGTGCGCTTCAGCATGCTGCTGACCCCGCCCTGTCATGTGACGTGGCCTACCACTTGGTGGCTGAGTTGTTGTTCCCAGTGGCTTCCACTTTGTTATAATCCCACTAACAGTTGAGCGTGGAATATTTAGTAGCCAGGAAATGTCACGGATGGATTTATTGCCCAGGTGGCCACCTATCAAGGGACCACGCTTGGAGTCACTGAGCTCCTGAGAGCGACCCATTCTTTCACCAATGTTTGTAGAAGCAGTCTGCATGCCTAGGGGCTTGATTGTGTACACCTGTGTCCATGGAGGGGATTGGAGCACCTGAATCACATGATATGGAGGGGATTGGAACACCTGAATCACATGATTTGGGAGGGGATTGGAACACCTAAATCACGTGATTGGGAGGGGATTGGAACACCTGAATCACATGATTGGGAGGGGATTGGAACACCTGAATCACATGATATGGAGGGGATTGGAACACCTGAATCACATGATATGGAGGGGATTGGAACACCTGAATCACATGATCGGGAGGGCGAGGCCAATACTTTGGGCGATATAGTGTGCATTGTGCATATTTATTTGCTAGGAAGATCAGGCTTGTGCGTGTTGTAGGTATATTTTGTGATACTTTGTATGCCGTGAATAGTTTTTTCTACACATTGTTTAGTAAAGCAGGAATACAATACAGAGGTTTTTTATGCTTTCTTGCTTTTACTGCAAAGTAAACTTAAAAGAAAAACCAACACAAATACGAGGTGCAAAGAGTGAATGATCTCCCAAAAAATGATCTGAAATGCCCACTGGGACCATGTAATCAGCATGTGCCAAGTTTCTGGGCTGGATCCACTTTCATCAGCTTACTGGGATGGCTTGTGATATCACAGCTGGATAGTGGACATATTTGTATTTTTCATATATTTTGTAACATATAAAAAACTCCTTTCAATATACAGTATGTGTATATATATACTAAATTATATTGAATACTGCCAAAAAAATGTATATTTTATATTTAAGATATATGTCAATCTATTTGGGAAGAATATTTTTAAAATATATTTAAAATATATTTTTCTTCCATGTGGGTTGGCAGGAAGGTGTTAACATCTAGGGCAATCAAAGGGTTAACTGTGTGCTGTGTGTTACTAGGGCAGTGTTTCTCAACTCCAGTCCTCATGGACCCCCAACAGGTCATGTTTTCAGGATTTCCATTATTTTGCACAGGTGATTTGATCAGTTTCACTGCCTTAGTAATTACCACAGCTGTTTCATCTGAGGGAAACCTGAAAACATGACCTGTTGGGGGTCCATGAGGACTGGAGTTGAGAAACACTGTACTAGGGAGACATGCTGTGCAGAGAGATACAAAGCAGCATGTCCTTGCTAGCAGAAGAGAGACCTGTGTTTACACACAGATCTCTCCCCTGTCAGCTTTACTCGGTGATTGACCTCAGAGAGGTCGCCCCACAACTGGCTGCTTTCTGGGTAGACATTTTATGGCATGCTCTGTGTTCCTAGTGCTTTAATTGCCTGAATGATTTTTTTCATAGTTTTACGATAGGTCACTTCCAATCCCCTCTGGAACATGATAAGTTGTGAGGTTTTTTTATGGTCAGTAGAAACCAACAGGCATCTTGCCAGGACTCAGCAGTTTACAGCTCTGAACAAGGCCTGTGTGCTGGTGTCTGCTGTCCTTAAGTTGAGATAACAGGCTCTTTTGAAGTGTGTTAAGGCTATGAATTCCATATATTGCTCGGAGGTAGGTAGGAGGTGGAACCAAGGGATGATACTTGGAGGTGGGTAGGAGGTGGAACCAAGGGATGATACTTGGAGGTGGGTAGGAGGTGGAACCAAGGGACGGTGCTCAGAGATGGGTAGAAGGTAGAACCAAGGGACGGTGCTCAGAGGTGGGTAGGAGGTGGAACCAAGGGACAGTGCTCAGAGGTGGGTAGAAGGTAGAACCAAGGGACGGTGCTCAGAGGTGGGTAGAAGATAGAACCAAAGGACAGAGCTCAGAGGTGGGTAGGGGTGGAACCAAAGGGATGGTGCTCGGAGGTGGGTAGGGGTAGGAACCAAGGGATGGTGCTTGGAGGTGGGTAGGAGGTGGGTGAACCAAGGACGGTGCTCGGAGCTGGGTAATAGGTGGAACCAAGGGACAGTGCTCAGTGGTGGGTAGGAGGTGGAACCAAGGGACGGTGCTTGGAGGTGGGTAGGAGGTGGAACCAAGGGATGGTGCTTGGAGGTGGGTAGAAGGTTGAACCAAGGGACGGTGCTCGGAGGTGGGTAATAAGGTGGAACCAAGGGACGGTGCTCTGAGGTGGGTAGAAGGTGGAACCAAGGGACGGTACTCGGAGGTGGGTAGAAGGTGGAACCAAGGGATGGTGCTCTGAGGTGGGTAGAAGGTGGATTCAAGGGACGGTGCTTGGAGGTGGGTAGGAGGTGAAACCAAGGGATGGTGCTCTGAGGTGGGTAGGAGGTGAAACCAAGGGACGGTGCTCTGAGGTGGGTAGGAGGTGGAACCAGGGGACGGTGCTCAGAGGTGGGTAGAAGGTGGAACCAAGGGACGGTGCTCGAAGGTGAGTAGGAGGCGGAGACAAGGGTGACTCAGAAGAGGGGGAGTTCCTCCACCTATTCTCTGGGAAAAGAAAGCCCTGGATGTTAGTACTTTGGAGTATCCCATGCCCCAACCACTCTCCTGTTACAGGTTCTGCAAGTTATAAATCACAGAAAGTCCAACCCCTAGACTGTTTATTGGAATGAATGGACTGTTGCTTGGGGGGGACTGGTGGCCTCTGTCAGGGCTGCTGTTAGAAACCACGGGGGCCCGATACAGCCAACCTGGCAGGGGTACACCTTCCAAAAAAAAATAGTTTACTATGCTTCAGTTATGAATGTGCACAGTGAGTGATTGATACCGATCACTCATTGTGTTCATTTGGAAAAGGCAGGAGCCAGTAAATGTGACATATATACTGGACCCTTCCCCCACTCTCCATCCTGAAAGATCATATTGTGTGCCGGTGGGAAGGAGAGGAGGGAAGCCGGAAGCACTGCGGGGGTGGGGCCTGGGCAGCAGAGGGGTATGGTGCACAGGGAGGGTGATGGGGGCAATTACTGAAACCGATCCCCTATTTGCCTCTCTGTTGCAGCAGCTGAAAGCTGGTGGGAGGGAGAGGAGAAGAAGCCAACTTTCAGCTGCTGCAGAGAGAGGCATACAGGAGATCAGTTCCAGTAATTGCCCCTCCAGCCACGCCGATCACCCTCCCTGCCCACATCCAAGTCATCCAGCTGCCTGGGGCCCCCCCGCTGGCCTGGGCCCCATACACAAGGACTGGTGGTATCCCTTGGGTTGCCCTTGCTGGGGTGGTGCTTCACAAGAATCACATGCTGAATGTCTTTGTAGCAAGAGACACAATGTAACAATTCTGGAGAATGCTAGAGGTCATTAACAAATTCTCTAGAACTGTTACATTGTATCTCTTGTAACCAGGATGTATGTCCTGTATGTCCTCTGCTCCTCAGCTCCATCTATTGGCCATAATGGGGTATTTTACTACGACTACGACTAATAGTAAATGAACATTTGTTCAGCAGAGAACGTCGTCTAAGTCCCTGGTCACATGGCACGGCAAGTCGCACCCTATAGTCCACAACAGGGGTGGACTGACAACCTATGGGGCCCCCGGGCAATAGGGGATCATGGGGCCCCTGTGTCCTCACCAACACTCAAACCACACCCAAAAAAGCCTATGAAAGGTACCAGGGGCATCTCATGGGGCCCCCTACTGACCCCGGGCCCTCGGGCAGTGCCCGAGTACCGTACCGAATGGTCAGTCCGCCCCTGGTCCACAATAACAGCGGTCATATCGGGCGCGGTTCCGACTTGGTCGGAGTCGCAGGGATTTCTAAAGTAGTACACGCTCTACTTTTGGTGCGATTTACACAGAGATCTGTGTCAGACATCTTGAAAATTGCACCTGAAATCAGCATGTCATCCGACTTTGAAATTGTGCAACTTCGCTGTAAGTCACATGGTTTTAAAGTCAGGATCGGTGTGACCGGGGGGGGGGGGGTGTAAGTCCAGGCTCACACCTGTGCAGTTTGCATTTGATCCGTTTCTGCAGTGCTTTTTGAGGAGCATTTTGCACATGTGGTTTTGATGCGTTTTGCTGGTTTTTTCAAACTTGTTGCTGGGCAGATTAAAACACGAAACGCATCAAAAACACATCAAAAACGCACTACATGCCTTTCTGCAGCGTCTGCATTGAAGTCTATTGAACCAAAAACACAATGTTTTTCTCTTAAACAACCCCTCCCCCTCTTCTTACACCAGGCCATTTTTTGCATTACTTTAACTGACAATTGCGCCGTCATGCAACACTGCACCCAAATGACATGGACGTCCTTTTCCCCCCAAGAATAGAGCTTTCTTTCAGCGGTATTTGGTCGCCTGTGAGTTTTTCTTTTTTGTGCTATGAACAAAAAAAAGACCAACAATTTTGAGAAAATAAACAATATTTTTGACTTTTTGCTATAAAACATGTCCAGTGAAAAAAAATGTAAAATTTCAAATTTCGTCATAAGTTCAGAAATGCAACGGATTGAGATGACCCCCAATTCAGAATGGTCGAGGGCCTTCAGCTGGACTCCAGCAGCATAACGAACATCCACACCGTCCTATCCACATAGTATTGGATACAATTCAGCTCCAATCGAAGAAAACCAACATCATGGAAGAAAAGAAACTCTCCATAGTGAAGATCAGCAAAGTACAGAAGATTTATTATGGTACAGTATATGCACTTACAGTGAAGGAAATGTGTATTTCCCTCCCGGCTGATGGTGAATGTTCGCCCCTCACACAGAAATGATCGGTCTAACAATGGAATGTTCGCCCCTCACACAGAAATGATCGGTCTAACAATGGAATGTTCAGTGTAACACTGAGAGACAGAATACAACAAAAATTCAGCAGAAATGCGTCTAACAAATGATGACTGATCTGCATGTTCATGAGGGAAAGAAGGATTTGATCCCCTATCATTCAGCAGGATTTCTGGCTCCCAGGTGTCTTTCATACAGGTAACAAGCTGAGATTAGAAGCAGTCTCTTAAAGGGAGTGCTGCTAATCTCATTGTGTTACCTGTATAAAAGACACCTGTCCACAGGAGCAATCAAACCATCAGATTCCAAACTCTCCACAATGGCAAGGTCCCTCTGCTGAAGAAAGCACATGTCCAGGCCCGTCTGAAGTCTGCCACTGAACATCTGAATGATGCAGAGGAGGACTGGTGGGAAGTGTTGTGGTCAGAGGAGACCAAAATCCAGCTCTTTGGCATCAACTCAACTCGCCGTGTTTGGAGGAGGAGGAATGCTGCCTATGACCCCAAGAAACACCATCCCAACTGTGAAACATGGTGGTGGAAACATTCTGCTTTGGGGGTGTTTTTCTGCTAAGGGGACAGGACAACTGCA